CTGGACAAGCTCAAGAAAACCAACGTCTTTAATGCAACCTTCCACATCTGGTAACGAGGGCTGGGAAGGCACATTGGGGAAGCACCTCCCCATAGAAGAGGCACTATAGGTCATCTTCACCTAAGCCAGGTTTATGCCATTCCTTGTAATAGGACAGGTATAATGTGGGGTGTATTTGTGAGCGCATGTGAATATGCACAAGTAAGGTTCTAGAGTGGTCAGCTTGGCAGTGGTGGTTCACAACTTTAACCCCAGCACCCGGGAGGCAGAGAGTTCGAGGCCAGCCTGGTCTACAGAGCAAGTTTCAGGACAGCTAGGGCTACACAGAGAAACTGCGTCTTAGAAAAAACAAAACAAATGAAAACCAACGGGAGTTTAGTGATACCTGCCCACCAAACCCTGTTGTCTGGTGCTGCTTTTATATTTTCTATTATGTTCATGTGTGTAGGTCTTGTCTTCAAACATGTCATTTTCTATTATGTTCACGTGTATAGGTCTTGCCCTCATACAGATCATTGTACCACATGTGTGCCAAGTGCCCACAAAAGCCAGATGAGGTTGTCAGACCCTCTGAGATTGGGGTAACAGAAAGTTATGAGCTGCAGTGTGGGTGTTGGGAATCAAATGTGGGTTCTATGGAAGAGCAGCCAATGGTCCTAACTGATGAGCGATGAGCCACCTATAGCCCTGGTGCTGATTTTTTCTTTCTTTCTTTTCTTTTTTTGGGGGGAGTTTTTGAGACAAGGTTTCTCCGTATTGCTTTGGAGGCTGTCCTGGAACTCACTCTGTAGACCAGGCTGGCCTCAAACTCAGAGATCCACCTATCTCTGCCTCCCAAGTGCTGGGATTAAAGGCGTGCACCACCAACACCCAGCTAAAGATTTTATTTATTATGTGTACAGTGTTCTGCCTGCATGTATGCCTGCAGGCCAGAAGGAGGCTCCAGATCTCATTATAGATGGCTGTGAGCCACCATGTGGTTGCCGAGAATTGAACTCAGAACCTCTGGAAGAGCAGTCAATGCTCTTAATCTCTGAGCCATCTCTCCAGTGCTGGTGCTGATTTATTTATCAGGCTCATTCCTGTATTTATTACTGTATTAGTAACAATTGAGTGTCTGCTGTGCTAAGCACCAGGAGGGTCACAGCAAACAATACACAGTATACCAGTTATTTATTATCTAGAAGGAATGCATAAATAATAGACCAGTGTGATAATGGGCCTGGAGTGCTGTGAGAACATGAAAGGGAACCTTGCCAGTTTGGGGGAGCTGCATGGAAAATTTCACCTGGAGGAGCTGATGTGTCTGAGGGGCAAAGCGGATGTCTACAGAGGAGGAGTTGTTCTGGCAAAGAGAACATCGTGTGCACAGGAACCGGAGCAAGGGAGCGGCAAATGGAAAGGACTGAAGGCGTCTCATTATGACTGAAGGCTGAGTGTAAAGGGGCAAGTGACCAGACAGGAAACTGGAGAGTTACCATTATTAAGTCATTTGGAGCCGGGCGTTGGTGGCGCACACCTTTAATCTCAGCACTTGGGAGGCAGAGGCAGGTAGATGTCTGTGAGCTCGAGGCCAGCCTGGTCTACAAAGCGAGTTCCAGACAGCCTCCAAGACAATACAGAGAAACCCTGTCTCGAAAAACCAAGAAAAAAAAAGTCATTTGGAATTGATTCCAAAGGCAGAGGGAAGTGACATAAGTACATTTGCATCTGTGGATGGTAGCTTTACTTACAGGGTGAGAAATTATTTGTGAAGGAGGTGTGTTGCTGGGACTCTAAGCCTTGAGATGGAGGAAAATAGTCATTTAAGACAAGTAGGCAGGGCTAAAGAGATGGCTTGGCAGTGGTTAAGAGCACTTGTTGCTCTTGCAGAGAACTTGTTCAGTTTCTAGCACCCACATGGTGGTTGACAACCATCTGTAGTCCCAATTCCAGGGAAGCCAACAGGCATGCACTGGTGCAAATTCATACATGCAGGCAAAACATTCATACACATAAAGTAGAAGTAGGTAAATCTAAAATAGAGAGAGGTGGGAGGCAGACTCATTGGAGCCTGATGAGTTTTTTTCACTTTGATACTTGGTTTTGTTTATTTGTTTGTTTTGTTAGTGGAGGGGCATTAGACTATTCAGTGATTCTCAGTTCTGCTTGGACATTGAAAAGCATGGGGAGAGGTGATGCCCTAGGTTTGGGGCAGCCCAGGGAAGTTAGATACATGCATCTGAAGATAGGAAAGGGATTTATGCTAGGTTTTGGAGGACAGTGGAAAATCTCAAAAGTTTTATGATCTCTATTTTTCCCCTGACCCCCTTTCTGCCCTTCTCTGTAGGCACAGTGGACAATTTGGCACAATCAATAACTTCAGATTAGGTCGCTTGCCCAGTGTTCCTGTGGAATGGAACGAAATCAATGCTGCTTGGGGCCAGACAGTGTTGCTGCTCCATGCCCTAGCTAATAAGATGGGTCTGAAATTTCAGAGGTGAGAAAATGCAGCTCTTTCATAGCACCTTGGGTGAGGGGTGTGTTTGATGTAATCTGTCTTTACTGCATGGTACTGCTCCACCGTGGCAGGAACCCTAGCTGCCAGCAGCAGAGTTTCCTGTGGGTGACGGGCCTGTGCACTGTTCTCCCTTCATCGCAGGGCTTCTGCCTGTGATGTCATGGAACAGTCATCAAACTGCATGACTCCAGCAGCAGCCCCAAAAGTCTCCGGAACCTAATTTTTCCCTAACAAAGTTTCAGTGCTTGCCTTTAAAAACCCACCAGGGTGTCCAACCTTTTGATACTACAATATGATATTGTGGTCTACAAATATGTTGAGCTTCATTCATAGCTATCCTGAACAAGGGCAACCCATAGGCCTCAAGTTATTCACACTTTCTAAACCAAATTACCAGGCAGAGTGTTGAACACTTGTAATCCTAGTACTGGGAAAGTTGAAGCAGGAGGATCAAAAGTTCAAGGTCAACCTGGCCTACATAGGGAGACCCTGTCATTTTAAAAAAAGCAAACACACATTAGTTGACAAACACATTAGATGAAATCTTTTTAGTAAAGTCTTTAGACATGGACTCCCAACTGTGGGGAGTTGGAAGTAGGTAGGAATAATACGTAAGTCCTTGGGTAAGATGCAGGTTGAAGATTACCAGATTGCAGCTTTGCAATCATCACTGTAGGAGGAGTCCTGTAGCCATATCTCTGTATCTCCACTTTAGGTACCGACTTGTTCCCTATGGAAATCATTCATATCTGGAGTCTCTGACAGACAAATCTAAGGTATTCTGGGAGTTACAGATTTCTTGTTTATCCTAACAAAATGGGTTCATTTGGAGGCTAGGGATGTAGCTTGGAGATAGAGCATTTGTCTAAAGTACATGAAACCTTGCGCTTAAATAAATAAGGTTTAGTTTCTATACCAGCTGACATTTTTCAGTTCTTTCTCAGAATATCTCATAAGGAGCCAACATCTTGTTCAGACTTAGCTCTTTGGGGTTTGTAGAGAAAATTCAGGTTTTTATAGCCTGTGTAGAAGGGGTCTGCGCAGATTAGAGGAGAGCTTTCACTTGAGAGTGGGAGTATACTGAAGTTCAGTAAGTTTCCATTGGTAGGGAAGCTCCTGTGAGTTAGTGCTTGCCCAGGGCTGTTGGAGTCGCTGAAGGTTATAGAAGACATAGTCATCTATAGTGCACGCTCTGGTGAGCGCAGACAAAGCTCGGGTGATTGGAGGGCAGGGAATGACCGGGAACATGCCCATAGCCAGTTCTTTCTTCTTGGGCAGGAGTTGCCATTATACTGTTCTGGGGGATTGCGGTTTTTCTGGGACAACAAGTTCGACCACGCAATGGTAGCTTTTCTGGACTGTGTGCAGCAGTTCAAAGAAGAAGTGGAGAAAGGCGAGACTCGATTTTGTCTTCCATACAGGTGAGAGTTCATTCTGTATCCTCTGGGGGCTCAGTGAACTTGTAGCAGGGACTAAACTGAATTGAAGGACCAGTGAATGGAAGCAGACTGTAAAAATGGCAAGACAGGAAACAGTACACAATCACATGACCTGACTGACATTGCAAGCAGAAGTGTGGCTACCTGGTTCCTGGAGTAAAGAATATTGTCTGAGGTGATAGTGGGGATTTTCTTGGCACAGAGCTCAAATTTGCAGCCTCATTTCAGAAAGGCTTTTCCTGCAACCTTTAGAGATATATAAGAATGCTTCTCTTAGTGTAGCAGCCCAGCATAGAAACCAGTTCAAGACACTGAGTTTGAGAGACCAGTGAGATGGGCACACGTCTAATTCTGGCACTCAGGAGGCTGAGGCAGGCAGAATGTATGACTTTAAAGGTCAGTCTGTGCTTTGTAGTGAGGAAAGGAGTAAAATTGAGGTTTCTCAAAGCCTAAAACCATTTTTATCTCTTTACCTCCCTTTCTGCTTCCTCAGTTGAGGGTTGCCTAGGCAAACAGTGAAGGGAACTGTAGCCTTCAGTCCTCCCCTGCTCCAGACTTCTCATCTGTTTGGGGGTGTGTCCTGCCCTTGTACTCTGCAATGACAATGAAGCTCTTGTGACAGCCTTTGATTTTAGGGTTTCAGGCAAATCCAAAAATCCACACTAGCAGTAGTTCTTTGCCAGGCATTCTCTGTTAGGTAAAATGACGTAAGTGGTCTCATGATCAAGTCCCTGCCCATTCGCCTGAACTGACTTCACTTGGATCTCTTACAGTGAGCTCTGCTTTGTTCATCTGCAGGATGGATGTGGAGAAAGGCAAGATTGAGGACACTGGTGGCAGTGGCGGCTCCTATTCCATCAAAACCCAGTTTAACTCTGAGGAGCAATGGACGAAAGCTCTCAAGTTCATGCTGACGAACCTTAAGTGGGGTCTTGCTTGGGTGTCTTCACAGTTCTATAACAAGTGACTTACTCCTTAAGGGAAATCACCTTTAAGGTTTTACGTTTGGTTTGGTTTGGAAAGATGCTTTAAATTAAATCTGGGTAATATTAAACCACATGTTTACAATACCAAAAGAGACAAAAGCCACTTTATTTTAAAATATCGTATGACAGATCGTTTCCAGAGCTGCAAAACACAGTGTACAGCAAACAGCCCTGTTTTGACTCAACCCCATGCTTTCCTTTCCCTCTTTCCCCTGAAAACAACTAATTTAAATTTGCTTTGTTTTTTTAAGTTAGTTGAATTGACATTAATGTGTTTTCACTGGATTTTATCTCTCTCAACTTCCTGCACTTAAAATAAAGAACAGATGAGTTCTGAGATGATGTTAGTGCACACAGTGGGGTGATGTGGGGAAGGACACCAGGTCAGAAGCTGGGAGTCTCTCTTTCCTCACGCAGTTCAGTATTGAATGCCTACTGTTATCTGTTAGAATTACAAAATGGTGTTTGATACTGTTTGAGACATGGAGAGATTTAATTATTTGTAATAAAGGATTTGCTATGGTCTGTTAATTACCAGGAGGTGTGATGGTAAGTTTTTCTTTAGAATTGAGTATTTTGTATTCTGGGAGAATTGAGTTCCAGTCAGTTTTGTAGAAATTCTGTTGAAACGTGTTTTAGTTTAAAAAACAAAGTAGAACAGTAAGCCAGGCATGATACTTAATCCCAGAACTCAGGAGGCAGAGGCAAGTGGATCTCTGAATTCCAGCTCAGCCTGGTGTGTATAGTGAGTTACAAGTCAGACAAGGACAAATAGTGAGATCTTGTCTCGAGAAAACAAAAAACAAAAAAACAAACAGCTGTAGTGGAGCAAGTGGAGAAAGGCTACTTCCAAGGCACTCAGTCAAGGTCATTCAGAAGTCTGTATATCTGATGTTCCCTTTTAATCTGATTAAATTAGGAAAAAGTAAAGGTCAAACAAAAATGAACAAATGAAACAAAATCTAACTCTCTCCAATTCTTTGATGTTTTTAGCCTGCCATGACACAAGTTGACATATTTGTTCACCATAACTATCTCTGATGTAGAAAAAAGTGCCTGAAATTGTAATACAAAATACTGTTCAAAGGAAACCTGGAACTTTTGTACCCTGAGTATGAAAGTAAACAAAGAGAAGGAGACTACAGTGACAAAGGCTGTGTGTCTGGGGCTTAGCCAGCCTCATGTGTTAGAGGAAGCAGTAGTTCTCAGAGCTCTGGCTGCCTTGTGGGGAGTAGGCTGCTGTTGCCCAGGAGTGTTTGTTCCCACACTGTGAGTCAGGATTGCGTAAGAGAACTGAGCAATGCTCTCCGAGGCAATGCCGGTGATGCTCTGCAGATGCCCAACAACCTTCAGAAAGAAGACAGATTCCTATTACTAAACAGTCTCACACATTTTAGTGCACAAACATGCATGCACACGCAAACATAAATACTTGCTTGAGATATTCTCCCGAGCCTAGCAAGCTTTTCATTTTTCTGAACACAAAAGGAAAATTAAACCCAGATTGTTATGTTTTTGATGACCAAGTGTCATGCCCTGGTAGTGTTAACATGGACTCTTTCTCTAGCTAGGTGTTTCACTCTGTTAATGATAGAGCAGTGGGTCATAATTATAAAGGGAGATGAACACACTGAACTTGGGCCTCTTTCCAGTTTCATAAAAGAGAATGGAAACCCTTCCTACTCTAGTTGTCCAACCCTCCCTTCTTGACTGTTCATCCAGTTCCTGGGTCCTGGCACTCCTCTTCTGCAGACTGTCCTCTGTGTTCCTTTAACTGACAGGGAATGCTTTCTATTAAACAAACTCTGATCATGCTGGCCCTGCTCAGTGGTGCGTACCTGGCTCCAGCATTCATGGTTTTGGATGAAAGCACTTGCTGCAATGATTCCAACTGCCAACAGCATGAAGTCTTCCTTCACAGAGATAAACTTTTCCCTGAATAATTAAAACCATATTAATTTTGGAACTAGTATGAAATGTGATTCTAAACTCTAGGGCAATAGAACTTCAACTATGAGTTATTAATGTTGATTGTCTTGAACTTTAGACACAGAACAAGGTGGTCAGGTAATAGCTGATCTGTCCCATTGTTCCCCAGCTAAAACATGCACCTTCCTAACAAATGTAACTGTGAGGCTTTGGCCAGTCTGACTTTACAGTAATCAAATACCTTTGTGCAAGCTAAAGCCATGTGACAGACTTCCCCCCCCCCCCAAGTGACTATAAAAGCAATCCAGCACTCTCAAATTTTAACTAATTGCAAAGGAAGAAGTAGAGAAGAATGTTAATTGTTTGAAGTAATTTACTCTTAATAGTAAAAACCTTTAGAGTTTCCCTGACTGGATTCATGTGAGCATGTGAGCCACATAATGGAAGTCGATAAGAAGCAATTAACCTGTGCTGTTTCTCAGTGCTGGGTACTGAATTTACTAGGCAAGTACTCTACAACCAAGCTCCAAATCTCAAACGCCTCATTCATATGGTCTGTCCCCTACTAGTAACCCCAGAAGGAGCCTACCCTAGAAGTCTCTTACCCTTGCAGCTGACTGGGTGTAGAATTCTCAATTGAAGCCCTCAACAGGCTCTCATAGATGGGTTCATGCAGGAGATAGACCAAGTCGAGGAGGGTCAGACAAGTTGCATGTAGTTGTGTGGCTGGGACCAAACAGCCATTGTACCCTACATGGAATATGGGCATGAAAGACAGCATGAGTTGTGTCTCCTAGTCATAATCTTAGAACATAAAGCTGTTATGTTGCTAATGTGCTTCATAATACACGCTACTATGAAAGGTATGGTAGCAGAAGGTCAGTTTTCTTTTATTTGAGATAGTCTTCCCTGTGTAGCACTGGCAGGCTTGGAACTTTGTGTAGACAGGCTGGCCTCAAACTTAGATCTGCCTGCCTCTGCCTCCCAACTGTTGGTATTAAAGTTATGTGTCTGGCCAGGTTAATTTTGAAGGGCAGATCTCCATCTGTAATACATATATACAATTACAGTATAGTTGTTCTGTCTTATGCTTCTCCATAAACCCAGCTCTTGGATCCTGCAATAAGAAAGTGCCTAATGAGCCCCGCATGGTGGTGCATGCCTTTAATCCCAGCACTTGGGAGGCCAGTCTAGTCTACAAAGAGAGTTCCAAGACAGCCGGGCTGTTACACAAAGAAACCCTGTGTCAAAAAAAAAGGAAAAGAAGTGCCTAGTGAATCCAAATAGAAGCCAGGTGCTGAAACCTCTGAGCTCCCTTCCCTGATGAGTGCTGGGAGGAACATCTTCAGTCCTCCAGAAACATGCAGCCTTCCTACTGCTCCTCATGGCAGGTTGTGTCTCCTGTCCCACATCCCTGGGTGCATTTAATTTTGTTGTGTTTCGTTTTCTATGAGGCATTTGACAAAGTACCTAGAACTTCAAGGAGCATCTCCACATATGCCAGAGGAGTGGGCAGATTTATCTGGAAGTTCAGGGACTTCAGCACATCCAGCTCTGACTCTAACAGTTCTTCTTTGGTGCATATATAACCGAGAGCCTGGAGGAAGTTCAGGACTGTAATGTTGCTGACTATCTGGGGAAAAAGTAGAGAAAAGATGTTAGGATGTGGGTCATATGCCCAGCAGCAGCGTCCATGAAGCACTTCAAGCCCACACCAGGCTTCTCTCTTGGTAATCCCACTAGGTTATGCAAGCACAGTTATTTGCAGTTAAACCCAGGTTCTCCCTTCTCCAAGTCACTACACATGCCGGATTTCCCTTCCCTTATAGCTGTCTCTTTCTCCCTGCCCTCTGTAATTTTGTTTCAATTTTCTTTGTAGCCACTACCAATTTCAGTAATTCATTTTCTCTAAATAAACTTCCTTGACTCCCCAAACTGATGAGATTCCTTTTTAGCCCTTGGTTTACACTAACACATCACCTTTTCACCTTGTTTATACCTATGCCTTTTCCCACTGGGTAAAGGATTCCTTGAGAGCACAATATTTTTTACTGTGGTAGCCATGGTGTCTACTGAAACATCTAGCCATAGAAGAACGCCATTAAATATTTGCTGAACGAGTAGTATTTTATTGTACAGGCACTGGATAGTAATGTGGAAACATTTATCCTTTTTAGGTGTAATCATTTGTCTTTAATGCTGATAGGCATGTGGGTAATCAGGTACCTTATGTAAACTGTCCGGAAGTCCAAGGGGAGGAAAGGTGACCTGCATGAATGATGGCATCTGTCCAGCAATTATACTTTGGGAACATAACTTGAGGCTGTTTAATAACTGCCTCTGTGTGACTGTGTGTGCTCAGGAGGTATGCTTAGGAAGCATAATTACACTCTGGATTTCCCACATGAGTAGTATCACCTCGCTTAGGAGTGGGTTTCTCACAGCCACCTGCAAGGAGCTGCTTTCTTTCTAACACTCAGGTGCCCACGAGCAACCCAGCTCCTTACTTTGTAGTGGAAAGACAATTTGCTGGCCAGCTGAACACATGACACCAAACGGAGGATAAACTTGTTGAAAAGCTGCTCTTTCAGAGCCCTCCAGTTCTGCAATTCTGTCTTAGTATTTCTCTGCTGGATTGTGGCTTGCTGACAGATGTTCTCTGCCTGTTTCACCATAAACCTGTATGGGAAGAAAAGGATGGAGAGTTGCAATCACACCCAACCAAGGGACTTTGTGCTGTAGACATGCTCCATTGATCCTGTTGGGTAACAGATGCTGGCTGGGAGATCTACATTTGCAAGTAAAAGAAGGACGCAAAGCCAGCATCTAGGTAAGGGGCGACTAGTGCTGTGTAAAGATCTAGGCACACTGCGGCCATTCTGAGGGGCACTAATACAAAGGCCTTATGCACAAGCTTTACCTTTCTAGGATTTCTACGGCCTGGTAGCTCACAGATTTCTCCAGACACCATTGTTCAGACAGGAGAAACACAAACTCTGCCAAAACAGGAAAGAAGAGCTTAATTCACAAGATGCAACCCAAGCCACTCTGTGAACTCTTGGCATTGTGTAAAAGCCATGACAGAACTGAGAGAAGAGGGTCAGGAGGTGAGAAAGATGACACTGGAACAACCAAAGCTGAGCTCAGTTCCCTTTGCTGCCAACAGGCAGATCAGAGGCATGGAAAAGAGGCCGACTCAGTGCCAAAGTCAAGGGTTCAACAAGCTCCCTCCATGACCCTAGAGCCTTCCTGTGAGTCTCAAGATGATAAAAGGTTTGGTCAGTTACACACCAGCATATACCAGATGGCCTAGTTGGTCTCTACTTCATGCTGGGAACCCCTCGCTTCATGGAAGATTCTTTGATGGGTAGAAGCCCCAGCCCCTTATATTCTGTTTCCGTGGAATGTTGGCAGGAGCAGACAGGTCCCTCCTGGAGCGTCGCTAGTCTTTATGACACTGTTTGTTTAGTAACCACCCTCTGCAGAACTCCCATCGCTTTACAAACACAATTCACCTTGCAGCTGGTCACCGCCTCTCCACCACCAGTTTGTGGTGTAAATGTCTGTTGTTACTGTGGAGTGACTTGTTTTGGAGAAACATCCCCTAACTCAGAGAACACAGCCCAATTTAGAAGGAAAGGATCACTCAGAGGGTGGGAGGGTAAGATACTTTGGCAAGATTTTATGCTGCTTCTGTTTCCCTTTGAAAGAACAGCCTCAGATAAAATTCTATTTAGCTTGCAATATCATTAGATGGTGGAACGAGAGCAAATGTCAGTTCTCTGTAAAGAAAACTGCAGACCCAAGACCTTTTCTCTTGATCAGCAAGGAATTAGAGTTGGGATCCTATACTTCAGGCTGTATACACACAATCAAATTGTCATAAGTTTTCCAAGAAAAATCTGACTTTCTTAGAAGAAAAACAATTTATCAGGCATAATCGCAGATGTCTGTAATTTCAGCAGGAGGATCACGAGTTCAAGGGCATCTTCACTTACATAGTAAATTGAAGACCAGACTGGGCTACATGGGACCCAGTCTCAAAAAAAATTTTTTAACCTATAAAAAAACACCCAAACTATCACATGACAGTTTAGCAATATATCTAACACAAATTACAAAAAGATTTATACACAAAGCTTTGTTACAAAGACCACAGCCCTGCTAACAATCTCCATCGTGGAAGAGAACTGCGCACAACTGTATGTTACCGGCCAGATCTTTGTCCTTCTATTTTCTGGACCGTAGGCTTTATTTCCTAGTTCAGGGGATGCTTGTTCCCAGATTGTTGGTTTTGTTTTGGATTTGTCAGGACTTACTTAGGGAGTTGTTTTTATTTTTTTTATTTTAGTTTCTGGAGGAAACTGAGCTGGGTTAGGCAGAGTGAACTATGATCACACCTTGTCTGCACCTCCTCTACTTAACAGACATGCTCAAATGGACTACTCCATACAAGATCTCCCAGGCTCTGAGATACAGCTCTGCCTCGCCATCTCACCACTGCTGAATTTCCTTACTGCTTGACTTGCACCCCTGCTACTTCTGCTTCATTTGCTCCCTCATGTTTCTGCAATTTGCCTTCCATTTTTCTCAGTTTGCTAAAACGATTATGAAAAGTCAGCAGATTTTCCAAACTGTAAAATAACCCAGTCCTCGTCTGACCTTCATTTCTGTTGATACACTAGAAAAACCTTAGACTGATGACCACTCCCCTTCCCAAACCTCCTGTTGGCTTCAGCAATGTTTGTTTCTGTGCCTGTCTCCCGTTGGTTGGTGGGTTTGTTGTTGTTGTTTTACTTTATTATTATTTTACTTTTTAAAAGATTTTTTAAAAGTGTGTATGTGTGTCCAGTGCTTTTGGTGGCTAGAAGTTGTTGAATCCCCTGGAGCTGGAGTTAGAAGCAGTTGTAAGCTGCCTCATGTGGGTTGCAGGGGACTGAATTTGGGTGCCCTAGAAGAGCAGTGTAAGCTCTCAACTACTGAGCCTTCTCTCCAGTCCCTTATTTTATGTGTATGTATGTGGGACTGAGTATGTATGTGCATTATGCTCATCCAAGTGTCTGCAGAGATCAAAAAAACAGGTTGGGTCCCCTGGAACTGGAGTTACAGGTGGTTGTGGGACTGCCCATGTGGATGCTGGAAACGGAAACTGGGTCCTCTGAAAAAGTAGCAAGTGCTCTTAACTGCTGAACCATCTTTCCAGACTCTTAGTTTGGTTTCTGAGATAGAGTACTGGTGTATCTTAGGCTAAGGCTAACCTGGGACTCACTATGTAGTTGACTTTGGCCTGGAATTTGCAACTCTCCTGCCTTGGCTTCCTGAGTCCTAGGATTACTGCATGAGCCACTATGTACAGCGCACTGTATTGTTGACTCTTCCCTATTCCAATTCCCTGAGCACAAAAGGTTTCCCAAGGAATTGTCCTTGACCTGCTTCTCTTCTCTCCCTCTAGGAGTATCATGAAAATACTTTAAAAACCTCTACTTCTAGTTCTGACCTTCTTAAACAGTCTACTATTAACCTTCCTCTATATGTTCTTGTAGATCCAAATCAAAACAATTTCCCCCTAAAACAAAGGTCACATTTCCTGATCTCTCTCTCTCTCTCTCTCTGTGTGTGTGTGTGTGTGTGTGTGTGTGTGTGTGTGTGTGAGTGTGTGTGTGAGTGAGTGAGTGAGTGTTTCTCTTAGTGGCACCACTATGCTCCCAGTCTCTGAGGCTCAACCCTTTGACAGTCCTCTTTACCTTCCTTATTTCTTAAATGAAAATTTGACTTTCTAGATTTTCCTCTGAGATGTTTTAAATACATTCTTGTTCCCCCCTATTATCACTCTGACTCGAGACCGGCTTCTCTAGCTCGCCAGTCAAGTCCATTCTTTATACATACAAAATCATTTTGACCATGGCAAAAATTACAGCTACACTGCTTCCGCATTTAAATTTCAGGGTCTTCATGCTGGAAAGATGGCTCAGCGGTTAAGAGCACTGGCTGTTCTTCCAGAGGACCTGAGTTCAATTCCTAGGTGGCTCACACTGCCTATAACTTCAGTTTCAAAGGATCAACACCCTCTTCTGGCTTCTAGCACCAAGCATACACATGGTACATATATATACATGACAACAAAACACACATACATATACAATAAATAAATGAAAAATTTAGTAACTTCTCGTTTTCCTGCTAAACCTAGTATAAACCTAGTATAAACCTAGTCCTCCCCCTTGGCATTCAGATTTCTACTTGGAATGCCTCCAAACTACTTTCCAGGTCTTAATTTCTATTGCTTTTCCACATGCTCTAGCCAACTGGGCTACAACTGTACCCTCTCTACTCTCTCCTCTCCTGCCTTCCAAAGCTTTATTCATGTAGAGATGTGATTCCCTTTATCTTCAACCAGAACGTCACCATTCATTCAAAGTGTTCTTCAAATGTCACAATCCCTGGACCACAGCCTATCTCTCCTTTGAATTCTCATAACAGCTTGTATTCTCTATGTCAATTTATCTAACCATACTTGTACCTACTGCTTTGTATATTTAATGTCCCCACCCAAAGACTACAGAGTTTGAGAGCAATGACTACGCTGCTGTTTCATCTTTCTATCCAGGCAATGTCAATAAAAAGCACTCTAAGCATGATTACAAAAAGAAGAGTAAAACTTCGCATGATGCCATATGGCTTTAAATCCCACCACTTGGGAGCCAGAGGCAGGCGTATCTCTGTGAGTTCAAGGCCATCCTGGGCTACAGAGGGAGTTCCAGGCCAGGACTCTACAGTAAGACCTTGTCTCAAAAAAAGAACAAGAAAAAGCACACACGGGTGGAGGGTGGGAGTGAGGTGGGGGGGGGGAGTGCTGGTAATCCTCATTCATCACTTACAAGCCCCAAGGCCAAGCACAAAAAGACCACTAACAAAATATATCTGAGTGAAAAACCAAGGTCAGTGCGCCCAAGACCCCCATAAACCCCACTCCCCACTCTGCATCCACACCCACGATCCGGGTCTCCCTGAAGCTGCCCATCCGTCCCGCAGCCTCCTTCACGGCTTGCTCATTCTGCTGGGCCAAGTGAAGCAGAGCGTTCTCGATGGTCTCTGTGGCAACCGCTCCAAACTGGAAGTCACTGGAGTTAGCTAGTCTTAGCTTCAAGGGTCCTTCCATATTCAGAGGTCTTTCAGAGCACTGGGACAGTTCACGGGATCCATAAACTCGCTTCCTTAGCTTATTTCCAGAATCTTCTGGCACGCCTTGGATTCTTCCTTTCCTTCCAATATGTTTGTCCTTGCCTCGAATCTGAGGAAAACGTAATTCCCACCACAGCCTCGAATTGTCAACAGCTTTTCGCGCCCCAACTGTCACGAAGCATTCAGCCAATCAGAAAACAGAACCGCTTCTCGCCTTTCCTGCCCCTCCTCTAAGGCGGAGAGACCCTGTCTCTACCCAGAAAACTCCACGTGGACTACAAATCCCAGAGTCCCTTGCGGCGATCAAAGACTACTATTCCCGACGAGCTCCGGGCTGGGTGGCTTAAGGCGGAGCAGCAACATGGCGTCCTCTGGAGCTGGTGACCCTCTGGATGCTAAGAATGGAAATGCCCCGTTCGCTCAGCGCATCGACCCGTCGCGGGATAAACTGACCCCTGCGCAACTGCAATTTATGCGGCAGGTGCAGCTTTCCCAGTGGCAGAAAACACTACCACAGCGGCGGACCCGGAACATCGTGACCGGCCTGGGCATTGGGGCCCTGGTATTAGCTATTTGTATCCGTCCTGGCTATACTACTTATGGGGTTAGGGAGAAAGGAACGAGACGTGTAGCCTTTAATGTGTGAGCAAATGGGGTTAATACCTAATCTTACTCTATCTCCGCTGCTCTTAGTGGTTTAGTAATAACAATTGAGTTAAGGGTTCAAAAGGAGCAAAAGGGTGACACTTCAGAATCATTAATTTTGGGGTAATAACAAGGGTGGCAGAAGAAAGGAATGCCTTTGTGTTTTGTGGTTTCCTGAACCCACCCTGCCAGATGGTTACACCTTCTATTCAGTGGCTCAGGAGCGTTTCCTCGATGAGCTGGAAGATGAGGCCAAGGCTGCCCGAGCCCGAGCTCTTGAGAGGGAGAGAGCGTCTGGACCCTAACTGTGCGTGCGGATCACCTTCAAACTGCTGAAGCCCCTCTACATGTTAAGCGATGCCTGGTGATCTCACAACATCGCTGGCTTACTAACTTCGGACTATGATTGAGCCCAAGAGGCCAGAGACTCTGCATTTGGCCACTGCCAAAGGGGGATTGCGCATTTCACATGCAGTTTGTACAGTTACTCAGCCTTATTTCCTTGTTCGAGAGGTATGCGACCTTGCCTTTCCCCAAACTCTGTGGTTTACCCCTTCACCTCCCAGGGGCCCGACTGACTGTTAAGGGGGAGGGTGTGGCGTATCTGCAGAGTTGGAACCTAAAGTGGGAAAGATATGGTCAAGTCAAGAGTAATAAAATGAGTCATCTCTCCTGAAGCCAAGCTAGTGTGTGGGGGCCCAGGGACACATGGCACTTCACGCTGGAAAGCTCCCTGGCAGTAGCTGTGGTGGTGGCATTGCCCCAGGGAGCTGTAAATGTTTAACTAGAATTACTTTTTCCGTGAGATCTTTCCACCTGATTTAAGGGAGAGATTACTGGACTGTTGAGACTGAACCAGGTCTTAGGGGAAGGAAGGTCACTCTTGCTTTCTGCCTTCAAGAACAGACTCTGATGTCACAGTCTTTTCCCATCCCTGGATGGGTAGATGAACAATAAGACAAGCACCTCCCAGTATTTTAACACTCACAGGTACCTGCCTGTACAGGCCTAGAGTGAGGTCCGGAGGGGATCATAGCGTGGCCAGGTAGATCATTGGCCATGTAGTTTCCTCATGACCTGGTGGCAAAAAGCCAGAAAACCAGGCAGCTTCCATCCTGCCTCCCATCGTGAGAGGAGAATGGCTTCTAGATCCTCACCCTCCTCACCCCACAAGTCTGTCCTCAGTTCCTAAGGCATGGCAGATACAGACCCACAATCCTTTCCAGTGTTTTTATTGGTTGCTGTTAACTTTAGTGGTGTGAGCACACCTCCTACACTCCCAACTGGAAGCTGGCCTGCTAGAAGCATCTGGCCTTGAGTGGGATTTGCTTAGTGGTTGGCCCTTGCCTGGGGAGCAGCGAAGGACGAAGGCGGGGTAGGGTACAGAAATGACATTTCCACACAGCAAAGAGCTCCCACATGTTTGACTCTTCAGGACACCACAACTGCACTCTCCATGCCCACAGGCCTTCTACCCCCTCAGTGCTGGGGTGTTCTGTGCTGAGTTCAGTTGGTCACAAAAGCATCAGGTTCTGAGAGCCCAAGTGCCATGGTGGGCCCTGGTGTTGGGGAGACATAGGACTTCTGTTCTGAATTCACTGGAGGGGAAAAGAAAAATGCTGGAGATATGTCCAAAGGGGAAGGAGGCAAAGCTGCTGCCAGTCACCATTCCCTTGGGCTCTCCCTCCCTTGGGCCCGCCCTCACCATCCTGCCAACATCCCCGGCGAATGTCACCCCCTTGCTTGCCCGCTGCTCCTGGGAGCCGGTGCTGCTGCCACTCAGAGAGTTCCTTCGCATGATGCCTGGGAGCAGGATGAGGGAGGGAGAGCACTAAGTGAAGGAGGGGGCAGCCGGGAGGGGGCTGGTCCCCCAGGCTGGGTAGACCACCAGGGCCTGAAAGATCTTGCCAATAGGGAAGGAGTCTCAAGGGGAAGATGAAAGCTGGGTGGCTGCCATCTCACCAGGGCCAGGGAGATCAGAGCGCTGCAGGCTGTTGCGGCGGGAAGTGGGGAAGCTGCCCTTGGAGAGGCGGCGCTGGCGGCAGGACAGCATAGCAGCTGGAGCTACGATACCAGGCGGGGGCTGCTTCCCAAGCCGGCTGTACAAGTCCTCGATTTCTTTCTTCTGAAGGGTCTGTAGTGCCTCCACTTCCGATAAGTGCCTGAGGGTGCCCCGAGGGCAGGAAAAAGGCCTGTCACACGCTTTCAGCTCCCAGGTCTACCTCCGGCACTGCTGTCTTCCCCAGACTCACTTCTGCCGAAGATTCTGCAGCTCAGCCCAGAACTCCTCATCCTCCCCACTGCTCTGGGACTCGTCACTGCTCAGACACAGGCTGCTGTAGGAGTAGTTCATCCATACTGGGCTGGGATGGCTCAAGAGTGGGGAGCCTCCCCCAGTGCGGGCTCCATCGTTCCCCTCCTCTGCAGTCGCAACCCCTAGGCCCTCTGTTGCTCGGTCACTCTCTGCCAGAGCCTCCCTGGTCTCTGGTCCCCCTGCAGCACTGTCCTCTGTGTCTGAGCTCTCTGAGGTCAGGGCAGGGGTTGGAAGCTTTAGGGAACTGGAGAGAGTTGGGGGTGCTGGTTGCAGGGGTGGCTCTGCTGGTTCCTTGGATGAAGTCACTTGGAAACGTCCAACAAGCTGGGGCTTTCCCTCTACAGGAGGATAAGGAGGATGGAAGAAATCTAGCAGAATATAAAGAAATGTGTTGGGGGTAACAGGCAGGGGAAGGTCAGGGATTAGAGGCCTCACCTTCAGAGATGGGTGCCAGTCTAGCGTCACCCAGTAGCGGCTGAACAGAATTTTGGGAAACCTACAAAGTGTGGTACCATGAGGAAGGAAAGGATCCAGAACAGAAGCCCCCCCCCCCCCCCTCGTCCCTATCCATGCCCTACTCACCTCACACTCTGTCTCAGCCATTTGGGGTGAAAGGCTCTCCTGGCCGCAAGAAGCAAGGGGAAGAGGCGTGCTAGGCAGAGGACCTGGAGGAGACTGAGAAAGAAGCCCAGGGGAGGGGGACAGCAGGGACTGGGCCACAGTCATCACAGCCAGAGAGAAGGCACTAGCCAGAGAGAGGAGAGGGGCTGCTGAGGTAGGGGGCAGGGGAGGAGGAGAGGCGCAGACAGGAAAAGAAGCCGGGTTAAGAGTGGCGTGGGAAGGACTAGGAGAGAACGGGCAGGGAGAGCTGGTGGCGGGGACAGAACTCATAGGAAGAAGAGAGGATGGGACGGGGAGCTGAGACTCACTGGAGAAGGGTGGAGCTGGGGGGCTGGGGGGCTGGGGACCGGAGTTTGAAGAGATCTGGGAGAACGGGCAGGGATGGCATGAAGATGAAGGGATAGGAAAGATGGAGCATGGGAAGACAGGAGGGGCCCCAGGGGAAAATGGGGTTCCAGGAGACAGGGGGGGTTCCAGGAGAAGATGGAGAGGTGGAGAAGGCTGCCCAGCTCCTCTGTTCCGGGGTGATGCTTCTCTGGGGCTCTGCTGAGGAAGGAGGGTTGAGATTCCAGACCCCCATGTGCTATGCCCTCCACAAGATCAACCCAGGGTTGGGACGAACAGGAACAGAATGCAGAACCTACCACTGGATAGGCCTGGGAGGGCAGGCAGCGCTGCTGGCTCTTCCTGAGGGAGAAACGGGCCTTTAGTCGCACTGGGGAAAGCCCAGCCTCAGGTGGGAAGTTGCAGGCTGGGATTCTTAAGCTAGGACCCAGGTGCCTCTAGGAATCCAGGCATGAGCTTCTTGGGATTCAAAAGTATATGTGCTGAAGTATTTGGAGATAAAGAGGCATGAGATCTGCCAACCTATTCTCAAGTGGCTCAAAGGAACATAACATATAATACAGAGGAATGGGAAAGCTCATCCAAAAGCACTAACAACCAGCAAATCTGGGCAAAGGGTGTCTAGGAACGTGCTCTACAGTTCTTGCAATTTCTCTGTGCGAGTCTGCACTTATTTCAAAATAACAAGCCAAAAGGATTCATTCACTGTTTTCTAGAACAAGAGTCTGTGGCTTTCATCATACTCTCAAGTAGAGCTAAGGGCCAGTTGTAAGGTCCTCAAGGTGAAGAGAAGTTAATCCAAGCAGACTGCTGAGGATAGAGACTCTTTCTGCTGGGGGTGTTGAGAGACCTGACCTGAGGGCTCAGGGCATCTTCAGCAGCCTCAGGGGGACCAGGATCTCTCTTCAGCAGGGTCTCCACTCGCTGGATAATCTCCCGGATCCTGCTCAGGAATCCTTCTCGCTCCGAGGGCAGAATGAACTCGTTATACACCTGGCAGGGGTTATGGGAGGGGAGGAGGCTGTTATCCCACCATTGCTACCCTGCTGCCAATGTTTAAGCCCAACTGTTGACACCACTGCATCATTTACTAAGTATGTGTTGTGTGCCAGGCACTCGTGGTCAAGGAGAATTGTAGTCCAGGAGTTAGCATGCCTAGGATGTGTGTGCTGTAGACACCAATGTTTTCACGTATGTCATACTTAGCACCAACAACCTGCTATGGTCTATTAATATTTTCCCTTTGCAGTGTAGATAACTAAGGCTCATACTGAGTTCAGCTGACCTGGGCCCAGAAGGAAGGCTCAGTGGTTAAGAGCACTAATTACTCTTCCAGAGGACCTGGGTTCAATTCCTAGCACCTGTTACTCCAGTTCCAGAAGTTCTGACACACTCACGCAGATATACATGCGGGCAAATACCAATGCATCCTAAATAAAAAAGACATTTTTTGTTTGTTTGTTTGTTTGGTTTTTCGAGACAGGGTTTCTCTGTATTGTCTTGGAAGCTGTCCTGGAACTCGCTTTGTAGACCAGGCTGGCCTCGAACTCACAGAGATCCGCCTGCCTCTGCCTCCCGAGTGCTGGGATTAAAGGCGTGCGCCACCAACGCCCGGCAAAAAAGACACTTTTTAAAAAGTTCAGTTGGCCAAAGCCACACTGTTAGAAACCAGGTCCACCGAAAGCCAGAGCCTGAGTTCTTTGCACAGTTGCATACAATTTCTGCACTCATATAAAGATTATAAAGTGCATCACATGGGGTCGCAGTCACGCATGGCAAGGTTAAGCAAAACAGGGCATCAATGGTAAATGTTACTTTCCACTGCACCGTCATTGAGTACCTGCTGTCTACCATGCATTGTGTTGAATACTGTTTACTACAGGGAAACATGAAACGGCATCTTACTCTTCCACCCCACATCAGTACAGAGCAGGTTGCAAGTCATCCTGGGATGGGTAGAGCACTTCAGTAGTGAGTTTGGGTAAAAATCTCTTTTTCCCCCTGGAGGCGGGAGGATCTTCAGCAAGCATTTCAGACTTGCAAGGTCTAGAGATCTGGTTCACAACAATGTGGGTACTGTCCTACTGAGCACATGCTTCAAAATGGTTATAGTAGTGAAATTTATGTTGTGGCTTTGCCTTACATTGCATTTGGTTAGTTTGTTTGGTGTTTTGTTGTTTGGAGATGGGGGTGATGGGGTGTGGCACTACTTTGTCCTTCCAGAGTGGCTTCAAACTTGTGGCAGTCCTCCCATCTCAGCTTCCTGAGGGCTGGGACTATGCCACTATGCCCCACTTACAATGTGTTTGGACTTTTTTTTCTTTCTTAAACTACAATTTAGTCAGGCATGGTGTTACACACCTTTAATCCCAGCACTCGGGAGGCAGAGTCAAGCTG